ACAAAACATATATCAATTACCAAAAACACTTTTTTATTAGGTACACTTTCTCTTTGTGGTATTCCACCCTTGGCTTGTTTTTGGTCCAAAGAAGAAATTCTTAATGATGGTTGTATTCAACGATTTTTGCAATAATAGTTTGGACTCCCGCGGGATTAACCGCATTTTATATTTTTCGGATGTATTTACTTTCTTTTGAAGGGCATTTGGAATATTTATAGCATCCTTTTTCTATAAAGCCCCCTACTACTCTTTACAAAATTTTGATTTAATTAATTCAATTCTTAAAAGAGGTCCTAAGAGAATTCTTTGGGACAAAATTATAAATGGTGTATATAATTAATTGTATAATCGTGCTTACATAGATTCTTTTTATACAAGATCCTTCACTGGAGGAATAAGAGGATTGGCTAAATTAACTCATTTTTTTGATTGACGGATAATTGATGGAATTACGAATGGTGGTGGTATAATTAATTTCCTTAATCTTTGATAAAATTTGCCTGTGTTTGTGTGCTTAGAGAGAGAAAATTGTGTGTGTGAAAGGGATATAGAACATAATGAAACAACTTAGAGATGATGTTTAAATGTGCATATTTGCGTGTGTGTGTGTATATCTACTTGCATGCGGGTGTGTGTAGAATAGGAGGACAACAAATGTGTATTTTGTGCAATAACATGCGTGAGAATGCGTTATGTGCTTGAGAACTATAACATATGTAGTCAATTAAAAAAATTTATACACAAATTAAGCAGTACTTAATACACTAAGTGATAAGGCATTTCTGATATCAAACATGTTAAATTCAAAAAAATTTTGAATAAATTAATTTTCAACATTAAATAGAGTTGTCAAACACGGCCTAAGTACTCAGGCTGCAGAATTCCATACCAGCGTCTTCCCCTACATTCTCTACAACGTTGGGTTTATGACCAGAGCTACGTGCTGTTCTTCAAGTCACATAATCCTTATATACCCCAGGGATTTCTTCAGATTAGTTGTACATGTTAATAAAAAATGTGAAAGCGTAAAAAACATTTGAAAGATGCCAGTAACAGTCGATACCAGGCGATTCCATCCATGCAAAATACTACAAATCGTGCTTCTGTGTCATTGATAATGTCCACCTTTCTAGTTTAAATAATATGTCCAAAAATTCCATCCAACTATAGCGGGAATAATAACTACCAAACTATCTATAAATAAAAAAGCACAATACCCTATCTAATTTTCTTCAAATAGGGCTGCATTTACTAGACATAAATAAAAGTGCAGCCTGGATAAAGAAAGAAAATTTTTATGTCATAAGATGGCAAACCTCTCTGAGAAAGAACAAGTCTCCAAATGAAAAAGGACGCATGACCAGAAAAACTGAACATCAAATTGCAATAGAAGAATAACCACACCATACGCAAATAGAGCATCTTTGACTGTTTTCTGACACGAGTGGAATATCATATACATATGGTGGAATTCCGATCAATGCTGCAAGTTCAATAATGACAGTCATTTGACAAATCACCTCAACCAAAAGGATATCATTTTCTTCCCCTGCACCCATCGCATTTTTTACCCATTCTTTTCTCCCCCTCACGAATAGTATCCCAAATTTCTATATGAAGTTCAAGCTGCTGTTTATAGTAACCATACAGCAAATAAACATTGATGAAATTAATTAGGATTATGAGTCAAGAAATGTAGCATAGATTCAATTCCCCCTCCCCGATTCTTAAATCCCACCCTTCTCCTACTAGAAAAAAAAATTAAAAAAAATGTAGCATAGATTCACGACCAAAAGGAGAATGCCAATGACCTCTTGAATCGTGCTGAACAGTGAAGCAAAACAAATATCAGAACTCTACTACACCATAAAGGAACTTTTACAGCTGCAGCCACCTACAGCACTTGGGTTTGAAGATACCTGCATACAAAAGAAACTCGTTACTACTTTATGGACCAGATCCCATATAGGCATTTATAACCAGAATCCACAACCCATATCCATAAAAAGGCAGGTAGAACATAGTATTAAGTAAATTCGACATGAGCATGAATGAATCATTCCATATCTAAAAACTGAAACTATAAGAATCCTACCCACATATAGAAATTGTGTTGGTCAATTATCTTAAAACGTAATGTTGATGAAAGCATATCATCTAATACATCAGGAAAGTGAGAAACTGCTTTGTTCATGAACTCAAAGATGAAAGCTTATGTAACAATGTTGCTGGGTCAGGTTAAGTCAGTCAACTATTTGTTTCCGACTTTTTCTTTGTGCAGAATGTCTCATTCACCATCCCAAAGAACCTCAAAGCTAAGGCTTAAATTACTCTAGGCCCACAAAAAGCAGAGATATAGGCTTAAAGCATTTTTTACAATTTGTTTATTCCAGTCAGTCTAAGTAGTTTGTTTCCTGTTCACAATCAAGTATCACAAACTTTTTGGCCATCTGCGACTCCAATGCTCAAACTATTTTTCGCCCTTCATAATAAAATTATCCAAGAAACACTGAAGCAAGGATAATTTGGGAGAAAGATGCCTTTAACTCATTGTTTAAGAGTAACATTTTCCTTTGTCAACCATACTACAGGTAGGGCAAGGTCAAATGTAAAGCAGATGATGCACTTTTAATGATGGCCAGAACTTTTATTGGAGTGCTATCTCCGAAGAAATCACTTGCTACTCAGCAGCTTACATATGACATGGAAAAATACTGCATGTTTCAGTATTCATAATATATAGCAACAGACCTGGAAAGCTGAACGGATAAGCTCTTCAACGAAATCGACAGTCGCACCGTTTACAAAATCAAGAGATATTTTATCAACTACCAATTTCACTCCTTCTCGCTCAAATATTCTGCAAAGTCAAAGAATAGAAGGCAATAACGTGAATCACTAAGCCACTGAAAATAGCAAATGAAACGAAGCAATAATCCACGGTTGAAGAGGAAACTTATTCCAGTGGAAATTCACGGGAACCTGTCATCATCATTGTGCTTATCATCAAGAGAAAAGTTATATTGAAAACCAGAACAGCCCCCGGCTTCTATGCTCAATCTTAGCATCTTTTCCTTGCCTTCCTGAGATTGCAGTTCCCTCACTCTCTGTATGGAACAGTGAAATGAGCAAAATCCAGTCAATGAACAATTATTTTATATCTGAAACTAGTGCAATGATATCAAACAATTAAAGGAGTAACAGACTAACTACAATGAACTCAACGATGTGAATTTTCGTTTCTTTTCTTCTTTACCTTTCTTTTTTTTTATTTTGGGGGGGGGGGGGGGGGGATGGTGGTGTGTTGGATGGATGCGGCTGGGTGTTGACCAAACCTAAAATTGTGTTCGACATTTTGAATTGATGCTTGTTCAAGCCAAGAAATGAGCCTTTATTCAAACGAGCTAAAGTCAAAGTTAAGCAACTTTCATTTACTCATATCCAGATTTCAAGTTTTATCCTTGTTCAGCCAAGCATACAAAGTAAACAAACACTAAAAATGTAATTCGCACTTGGTGAATTAGATAGTGAACCAACAACTCAAACGCGCTCTTATCAAGGCAAGCTGGAGTTGAGCCTGGAGAAGTTTGTATCATCTTTCAGACTAGAAGTAATATCCAATGGAACACAACAGGACCATTTCATACAAACTTCGGAAAGTGCCTTTGAAAGAAGTATGGTACAATAGTACATAACTTTGGAAGAAGGCACACAGACATTCTTAGCTAGCAAGACAAATTAATCTTCGCCAGTACTCATCTTCTAAGATCCAAAAGAGAAGGATGACAATATAAACGGGCATAGCTTCATTGCCACGGAAGTTGCATCGTTCCGTTTACTTATTTAAATTACTAATCCTAAACTACAAATATTTGCAACTTATTCAGTAGACTTTCATCAAATTATAAACAGAATTTCATCCGAATTGAAAGAGTAGGTTGTGAAACGAAACAATTAAAAACTGAACTTATATGGTAAAGGAAGAGAGAGAGAGAGAGAGAGAGAGCTACGAGTTTCGCGATTGCAAAAAAAATAGAATAATCTTAGAGTACCCGGACGCAATTGTCGGTCATGTGAACGGCAACTATAGATTGAGATTGGGAATGGGAAGGCTGAGGAGGAGGAGGTTGCTCGTGGAGAACGGAAGATGACGCGGATGACGAACCGAGGAGTCTCAGGTGATTCTCTCGAATCCGAGCTGCGAAGAAAGGAACCAGTCGACGAATCATCGAACTATACCACGACGTTGCCGCCCACCAGAACTATATTTCTTTCTTCTTCCTTGATATTAGCAGTTACGTGTTTCAGTTTCCTGCATCAGAAATCAATCAGGATTCAAAGCACCAAGACGAGGAGGAGGAGGAGGAGTTTGGTTTTGATTGTGGTTGGAGCCATTAATATTGTTTAGTTGATAGAATCGAGATGGAAATGGATTCCAGGTTATGAGCGACTGCATAACACGCGTACCTGTCCTGGTTGGTTGGGCAGGTTTGTTGTGCTTGACTATGAAGCTATTGGTTGGGCTTCTTCAGCCCACACACGACCAGTGCCACACCTTTTTTTCACTTGAATATATATTTAAGGATTTAGCCACCTGCACCTTGGGAGGATAAGAGTGCTGCTAAGTCGCGATTGTTAAAATTACTGTGGATTTATAATAGGGTGTTCTTTTTTTTGCCTAATCCGTCGACTTGACATTTATTTATAATAGAGTGTTAATGTTTTTCTAATACGCTGAAGTTGTAATTGATCATACGAGTTTAACATTGTAATTGACCTTAAAAACCTCCCTTCTCATTGGGGGGAAAAAATCGGAGGAAATGTTGTGTTGGAACAAAGTATGAACCTTCTATACCCGGATAAGGGAATGAGAATGAGTTTAGAATTTAGATGCCAATCAAGGGGGGAAAATGTGAATGCTTAGAAGGAAGAGATACACGTATTATATATTGCACATGTAGAAGCGCTGGGTAAAATTCCAGCCATAACCATCTCGATTGCAAAGAAAAGTAAACTATATTGGAAGGGTTGGTTGTCTTAAAGACAGACACAGAGATTATCGCGAGTGTGATTTTGTGAATGAACAGCAAACTTAAGGTTGAGCACTCATATTTGGTTCTTTTATGGCCACAGAAATAAGCAACATTTGTTCTCGGAAGTCAACCGACTTGCTATTCCACCGGTCCTTAACTGGTCTCGCTCATCAATCTCCAAAAATGAACACTATTGTACAATATATGTCTACGTCTCTACGGACCTCATATATTCATTACCGGTACATTAGGCTAATATAAATACAGTGTGACTCCTCAAAATCTCTGATCCACATCGCGGGCCTCATAATCTTGTTCATTCAAGCCCTTATTCTTGCTCCAGGTAATTCAATCCTGGCCAGTTTTCTGGGCCATGTCTGAAACACTCAATAACTAGAGCTGTTAAATAAATTAAAAAAAAAAAAAAAACCGAGAAGCAAATGAAAGATTTTAGCCTCTAAATATAGATGGAGTCACTTCCTAGTTCCTACCACCTTTAGTGTCGGCTACTTTAGACAGATACCTCCATATTTTAAGCCCAAAATTACTTCTTGAAGACTTAGCGTTGAGTCCTTCCAGATGGTGATGGTCAAATTCATGAAATCTTAAGATCCCGCGCCTGCAAGCCACCAACTTGTCAAAACTCTAACCAGCAATCCAGGACTCCTGGAGAAGGAACATCTTGCGTATTGGGTTTGTTCAAATGGAAAGGATTCAAGAGCAGCCACCTATGCTAGTTATTTAGAAATCAAACATCTGATTGTAGAAGAAATCAAAATGTGTTGGGAGGCATTTTTAATAGTTTGAGCAGTCCTAACTTTTCATGCCACAATGCAACCTTGGCAGATGCACATTGAAAAACCTCAATGGCATCTATGGAGCATATCAGTAAGTTACAACTGAATGAAACATCCATCTACAGCTTAATAAATATGTCAGATGCAAGCGAGATAAATCCACTTGATGACACAAACGAGATTAATCCTTCATGCAAAAATCAAGTGGAGACATTAAAAACTTGGGACTAAATATTCCTATAAGTGCATGTTTGTTTAGCAGGAAAATTAAAATCTTTCTTGCGCTTTCCCTCACTTTCCTGCATTTTGTCTCCTGCAAAATTTGCAGGATTTTGAGAGAAAATAGCTGGTTAGACACAAAAACTTTAATTACTGCCACTAACTATAACTAGCTTCTCATTTTCTCTCAATTTTTTTCTTGGTGACTACACGTTTTCTAGAATAAGATTTTTCTTTTCCTTTACCTCACTTTCTCTCATACTTCACTTTCCCAAATGACTTTCCCTCTATTCAAACAGAGCCTAACTGAACAATGCTAGACGACCACAACCATAACATGTTTCCAATAGAAAACAACAGTGCAATGGTCATTACCTTACCTGTATGTTTATCCATAAGTGAACCATCTTCCACCAAATCATATCTAACATTACAGACACAATGGAAAAACATTTGTATAGAGAGAGAGAGAGAGAGAGAGAGAGTAGTAAAAAGACAGGAAGTCATGCTACCAAATTAAGTTTATACCTGATTGGGTCTCATGGGGATGACAACTGCATAGAGAACACCATCCAGCGAATTTGAATTCATTCTTGAGCATCTTAAGATTCCTTTTTCAATGGCTACAAAGATATGTGGACCTCCCTGCTTTTCTGATAGATTAAGTCGTATTTTCTACGTCAAACCATCCATAAATAAGATATCGTCAAGCAAAAGAATGGATCATCAAAATCTTTATACAACTTGTTTAGACAAAAGAAAGAATTTCTAGCCCCGCAAAGCCAAATTCTCAAGTGTCAAGATTCACTTTTACTGACACAAGAAATTTCCATATATTAAGAACAAGTAGCTTACGAAATGCTTTACTGAGTCCCTGAATTGTATTATGTGTGCTGAAAAGCATGGTGTAAACCAGTATTTCGACAGAAAGTCACATGATTTTGCAGCATGTGTTCAAGGTCAAGGGTTGCATCAGATATATTGAATTTCCACCAGCCAAACAACTTTAACACCATCTGTCTGCAATCACACCCCACATTTTGTCAAAATTACCTCCAAACTTTTACCCTGTCCTGTGCTTAACAAGCAAGAATTCACGAATGCTTGCATGAAGACCTCTTGTACAGCTCACAAATGCAATACATAAAAAGATACCAGGTCATCTCATGCAAGGTGTGTTTTAGAGACTACCAATAATCATTGCATGAACATGATCCATCAATAAAACAATGGAAACGGTTAGTGTCCCGCACAATAATTTCTCTACCAGTTATCTTTGATATGAGCTTGAAGGCCATATGACAATCACCACAAATGCGAAGATTTTTGGTTATTCGGATGACATCATTTGGTCTAGTACTTATTAGACCAAATGCAAGAGCAAGCTTCTCACTGTGATAGCCCAGCACATATTCTTTCTCTTCCTCTTCAACGTCGAATAGCACAAAATCCGTAATTGGAACATAGCCTGCTGCTCTTAACTTCTTGTCCAATTCACCGAGTTTGGCATATATCTTATCCAACATAGGATGAGAAGTATCTCCCACAAGAAACTCATGAACAACTCCATCTAATTCTATCCAACTGTAAGCAGGTACTTTCTGAATCCCTTTCCCATTCATAAGTGCTCTGATTTTCTCAGAATCTGCCCATTTGTGATTAGCTGAATAAATATTTGATAAAAGAACATAGTTCCCAGAGTTCCACGGTTCTAATTCAATCAATTGCTTTAGCACGTGCTCAGCTAGTTGAGTATCTCGATGTAGACGACATCCACTTAACAGAGCTCCCCAAACCACAGTATTTGCCTTCATTGGCATGTTTAGGATCAATGAATGGGCTTCATCTAACAAACCAGCTCGACCAAGAAGATCAACCATGCATCCATAATGCTCAATTGTAGGATATATAGAATAAATCGAGTCCATACTATAAAAGTACCTGCGACCATCGGCAACCAGACCAGCATGACTACAACCACAGAGGAGACTGAGGAAAGTGTTCCCATCAGGCCTCAACCCATTTTTCTCCAACAACGCAAAGCAGCTAAATGCAGATCCAACATGACCACCCATGGAAAGCCCTGATATCATGGCATTCCAAACAACGAGGTCCTTTTTCTTCATTTGAAGAAAGACCTCCCAAGCTGAAACAATCTTCCCACATTTAGCATACATGTCAATCAATGCTGTACCCATAACAGGATTGGAGAAAAAATCGTTCGTACCCATCAACCTACTAGCCCACTCCCCTACATCCAATGCTCCTAATCTTGCGCAAGCAGATAGCACCCCTACCATCGCATAACAGTCCGGTCTTAAGTTCTCCCGATGCATTTGATAAAAGAGATCCAAAGCATCTCTAGGAAGCCCATTTGCTGCATAACCCTGAATCATAGAACTCCAAGAAACAATATCCTTTTCAGGCATCTCATCAAAAACTGCACGAGCCATCTCCATACTTCCAAGTTTAGAATACATATCGACCAAAGAAGTGCTCACGAAGACATTTCTCCCCATGCCACTCTCCGCCCAATACTTATGTATTAACTCACCAGCGCTCAAATCCCCTAACTGAATACAGGCAGACAATACCCGAACAAGTGTGAAACTATCGGGCCTCAAACCTGTTGTCAATGACCTCCAAAACATATCAATGGCTTCTCTAAATCTCCCAAATTCAATATATCCACTTATTATTGCAGTCCAAGAAACCACATTTTTCTCAGGAATATCATCAAACACTTTCTCTGCATCCTTCAAACCACCACATTTCGCGTATAGGCAGACCAACCCAGTCTTCACGAAGACATCATAATCGAAACCCCCTTTCACCACGAGAGTATGAAGCTTAGAACCGAGTTCCATATCCAACAGCCTCGTGCAGGCTTTCAGCAGAAACGGAAAAGTAAAATTATTCGGTAAAAATCCCTCTTCACGCATAGAGTAAAAAAATTCAACAGCCTGGTCAAAACAATCTTTAGAGACCAACCCACGAATCATAGTGTTCCACAAAAATATATTTGGGGCTTGTGTTTGGTAAAATATGCGTTCTGCGTAATTCGGGCTGCTGAACTTGAAGGTTGATATAAGAAGCATGTTGAGAAGATAGTTGTTTTGGTTGAGACCACTGCGAAGGAGGCGGCCATGGATATGTTTGAGTTGGTTTAATGAGTTGAATCCTTGAAACAGAGCCGCTTTGATCTCCTTCAAAACTGTCGGAACCATGGGAAACGCCTGCCGATACATTCTTCATAGAGGCTTTAAATTCATTCCACGACATGGTTCATTCCCAAATGTGTGCAATTTAGGAACAATCATATGAAGAATTTAGTACCATGAAGTTTTTCATAGAGAATTTAGTATAAAGCACATTCCCTTCCCGCATAAGTTTTAATTTCAGGTTTGTAGATCTGTAATCAACTTCCAATTAAAGTTTCCATTGCCATTGCTATGTATCGAAACCCTAATTCCAATACTTTCTTTTTGCCGAATCCAGACGTGTTGATGAATTTTAAAGGAGCAGAAATGTCTATCTTATGCACCTAAAATCCTTCTCCTGCCGAATTTGCCAGTTCCATTCTCTATAAAGATATCTAAAAAAAAAAAAACACACACACACATTAAGAACCTTACCCAACAAATTACATGGTTTTGATTCCTTAATGATCCGGCCTACTCTTGATGATAATCAAGGGAAAACAGATAACAGTGAGAATCATACATATGAAATATCTGAACGTGATGAATCTTTCTCTGGAAGCCAAACAGCGTTGCAAGTGGCTCTTGAATTCTGGAGCTGCCCAGTATATGAAGCCAGACAAGTAACAAGCGCATGGACCAATTTCCATGAAATCGTAGCGAGCCTTTAGAAACGTTATTCATTTCGTGATAAGAGATGCAGAAAATCATGTTAAGAGACGATTTTATTAGTAGACACCGAACAACAGGCTAAACAACTGGATTACTTCTTGTTTGGCCTAAGAATGCATAAATTACATACACCTCTGCAGTTGATAAATGATATGAAAAATCGACAACAGATTGATTACTTCCAGCTTAGCCTCCCTCAATCACAACTTTCTACAATATACCACTCCCTCTCCAGGCCTCCTCCTTTTCTTCTTGATTGCACATGTTACCAACAAAAGATTGATTCAGTCTGACTTCTCTACCTCGCGGAATCTTCTATCCCATTCACGACCCTCATAATCCTGATCGTACAAGTCCTTGTCTGTACTGTACACAATCCGCTCTTTTCCAATATAGTTTCTCTGCGCCATGTCCCTGGCACTCAAAATCTGAAATGTTCAATGGAAGAAGCAATACAAAGTCGCCGGTTAGCTGCCGGAAATAATGGAATAATTTCCAGAGTCATCATTAGTGCAATGAAAATGTTGAAATGCTAGAAAGTCTAATTGAAAGAAACTATAATTTCAACTGAAGCTGACATCCTCAAAACTTCTTCAAGATTCAAACCATCCGAAGGGTCCCAGGGGAAAAAAATCCCAGAAGATTTTCCCGTATATTTTCTCCTGTTTTGAGGGAGGAGAGAACAACAGCTACAAGCTGTGGATGGAAACAAACGTAGAAGGAAAAAGGATAGAAAGAACAAGGGCACACCAATTTCTAGAAAACAAAAAAAAAAACAGAAAAAAGAGAAGAGCCACCATAAAGAAACAGTACAAAATAAATTGCTGACATCAAACTGCTGTTGAAAACAGTATGATGCCCACAAACATGGCAATAATGGTAAAATACTGGGGTAATCCCCAAAATTGGCATTGAGAAGACAATGATGTACTTCCAGAAGAACACGCAGGTATAGTGTTAAATAATTCAACAAATGGTAAACTTAACAAAAGCAACAAACCAAGTTAAGATGTTATCTTAAGCCTTCTTTTCAAGTATGACAAAATAAAGTAGTCCATTTTCAGGTATACAGAATCAATAATAAGGTTGAACATTTACCTTATGAGATCTCATAACCCTAAAGCAGTAAATTATGAAAAGAAACAGCAGAAAATTGCATAAGGCTTCAGGTTTACCTTCCGCCTAAGAGAGAGATCAGGCAATTCAAGTGCCCGAGCACGTTGTTCCCTTGCTTTGTTTCGCTTTTCAATCTTAGCATTTGTTCTTTGAACGAAAAACCATCGAACCAAAGGAATTGCAAAGAAAGAGCCAGCATAAATCTGCTTATTCCCAATTGCAATTAAACAAAAGGAAAGATCCCACGGGAAAAACAAATAAATAAATAAATAAAAGAACAGAAGAACTTTGCGATGCAATTCCAGATCTCTCAATATATGGTAGAGTCGGCAGTGACACGAAAACCAGAAAATGAACCAGACAATCATAAGACAAATCTCACAGGAAAGACTGCTTTTTCTTGGATGTTTATAAAATGAAGCAATCCAGTATGTGAAAACGATAATTCCCAACAATAGCCAATTGATGCAAATAAGGACCCCATTTGCGAATAATAGCTGCAATACCAAGTCCTTATTGCTAGTTGCTGCATAAAAATTCCTCGAAGTGCAAACAGACAACTCCATCAACCCCCCCGCCCTCCTCTATCCTCCACCTTTTTTCTGTGCATATTCACCTATCCGTCATCCCTTAACACTCAAAATAACAGTATCAGCCACACCAACATGTCAGAAGTATAGCCAACAGAGGAAAGCTCAACAACTTCGCTATGAGTTTGTTGAGAAAGAAAGGATGCCAGAGGAATCACCCTCTGCTGAAACTTTAAACTTCAAAGTCTCCCTTCTGATTAGAAAAAAATTAATAGAAAGCATAAAGTCAAATACTAGAAATATAGGACGATTTACTTCCTCTGATTAGTAGTCTTGTGATCAATCCTTGCTTTTTATTGGACAACATAATGCAATATTGGCTTACCTGTTTGGACTTAAATCTTAAAGCATCATAATAAAAAGAAAACAAAACTAAAAAAGAACTCAGTTGCATCTACAGATTTAAAAAGTGTCCAACAAGACATCCAATCATACCTGAAGCAAGGGAAATATGTCAGGCACAAACGAGATGAAACCACTTGGTGAAACTGTCATACTCCTTCAAGTCAGAATTAAAGTAGAGATGTTAGTAATTGTTACAACTAGAAGATATTCTTAGTGAAGAAGGCCAGCTGACATACTTCAGCATTGTACCAAGAAAAATAACTCCAAATAGATTGAGCCCACCCAAGCCAATGACCATTGCCCTCTCCGAACTGCTGGTTTTACTGCAATATAAGCTCTCACATGTAAGGAAATTATGACAGATCAATTAAATAAAACACAATGGGAAGAAAATGGTTGAGTACCTAAACCTCCACTTGTTTTCCTTAAAGAATTTCTCACCACCAACCCAATCAGACCATTTTCTTCCTATATATTCCTTCCTTCCACTTCTTTGGGGAGCAGCAGTCCGCTGTAGCAATGGAAACCTGTATAGGATATTTCCCTGCAAGAAAATCAGTTCCACTAAGTAGGAGAAATAATTATTAGATAATCTGATAAAACATTCCATTGGCATGAACTGACGGTCATTCTAGGTGCAACATTACAACTGTCTCATTTTAACTTTAGAGCTTATAGATATGGCGTACAAATACAACCTAAAAAGTAACTTCTTGGAGGCTAAAGTTGCACACATTTAGTCCTCCAAGGGATAAGGGGCCTCTACACTCACTATTAGTGATTGTAAAGTGCAATATATTCACTAAAATTACAGATGCAGATGCTTTTAACAATTGTATACAGTCAAACAAGTGTTAAACAACTAATACTTTATTACTTTTCTTTGGAAGTAGTTTCCAAACTCAATCATAACCATTGAGTTCAAGAAAATCTCAACCCATACCAGGAATTGTACTCTACAATTCCAGATGCAATTGTGGAGGCCCCTCATCAGTGCTTCAGGAACCTTGCCATGATAGGACCTTCAACCATAATTTTCCTTTAACCCACTGCAACAAGGGCAGACAATGGCAACTCCATCCAGTTGCTTAAAATTATCCAGGATCCAGACATTAAACACATGTTTATGAAATTATATCAACCATATTTAATCTAATTCACCTTTTACAGTGGTTTTCCTCTTTTCTTTTCTTTTTTTTTTTTTTGGGTGGAGGAGGCATGAGGCATTGAGAGAAAAATCCCTTGTCACCATCAGAGAAGTGTTCCCTTTTCTAAATTCTAACCACCGCAGAGCAAATTAAATTTTCGCTTCTTACAGAATCATGCTGTGACTGAAGCAGATGTAATCTAGACTCCAAATTTACCCATACAACCAAGATCCCTCTTCATTACTAAATAATTTCCATAAAACGAAAACAAAGGCTCGCCAGAACTTTCCAGAAGCAACAACCACATGTACTGAAAACTAATTTTGTGGAAGGGAAAATGGGAAAAAGACATTGTTGAACTGTTGAAGAGATCATATACATGAAGAACAATCATAATTACAAAAACTCCTAGTCCTACAGTTAGAACTTCCACAAATTTCATCACCTTTTCTGCACACTAATTGTGGAATATCAAAAGGATGCTGCCTTTTAACTATGAAAATGCACCATCAAAACTTCTGATCAGTAAGAAGTCGGAACAAGTAATCTAACATACCTCTTCATCTACTTCTGGCTGACCATCAAACCTCAAAAGCACTGGTAATATGTAGGAATCTTCATCCTGAAACAACCAATGGCCAATGACTCATTGCAAATAGGACCAGGATCATGCTAAATGGTAGGCCACATCAAGTATGAACTTACCACTTTGTCAGTAGTCTCTATATCAAGATATGGAGCAACTTCTTCAGCAGTTACAACACCACCATTTGATGCAATGTATTCTCCAATCTAGCGTTTTGGGCAATGAGTAAATCATTTGCAGATACTCTCAAGGAAGAAACACAAAGGACTATAAACCAATTGAGAAGGACAAGAGGGCTAAGTAAGCTTTGATACAAAATGCTTAAATCAATAACTACAGAAAAACCATCTTCTATACTGACGCTGGACCCCCTAACATAAAAAGGGAGATCTTTAAGCAGATACAAAATGGCTAGAGTTACATCCCTGCATCAGACAAAACTAGGTGACACTAAACTAGCTATCAGCAGCTCTCAGTAACAGCTTTATGAAGTTATTTGATGCCAAGGCACTAACAAACCTTTGACCAAACACAGATTTCACTTCCTCGCACTCTCTTTGTGTCAGTCATAACACGACAAAAAAATGATTAACCCTCATGCTTATACATTTGGCACTATGCAGAAATCTTAACATATTCATAAAATACTTTCACAGTAGATCACCATGTCAACAATATGGAGAGAGTTTTCATTTCGTATCTCTGCTTGGTAGAATAAAGCAATTTCCATAGAACTGGATTTAACCATCACGAACTAACTAAATGGCATGTCAGAGAAAGAACTTATAAGTGAAGAGACTAGATTACAAAGTTTGATTCCTGAATAATTAAGTCTCTGAATTTAGATTCCCATGGCAGACAGTGGGTTATAGGAATGGTTCTTGAGGCCTAGTCCTGATCCAAAACATATTAGATGATGACAGGTTTAAGGGAGGCCAGGGTGTTAGAGGTACACTGGATTGTTCATACACCTGTTAAAGCTATGTAACACTACCTAATTTATAGTTTAAAGCCCCAAAGAAAGCAAGGATATTGCAAAAAGCGGAAACATATAACTATGGACAAGTACAAGAGCTAGATGAGCAAGCTTAACTCAATTGTCTTATTTCAGCCTCAGTAATAAGGTGATC